TTTGCATTCGCATTCGCTTTTGTTCCTGTGCGCATTTGTCGCGTTGCCAACTACTGATATACGTCGGTGTGTGTCGTAGTTTTTCTATTTCACTCATCAAATGTCAGCTCATCAGGTTTTACTGTCAACACGTGCAGCCGTGCATAAACTTTTCAGTTATTGTTGTTATTGCAGAAGTGACTTTGTGACTCTGATTCGCCTATGTATGTATTTTCCCTTTAGGGACTGAGGAAAAGCGGAACTATTGTATTGCCTTTTCTAAAAAACTTATTCGGAATCGTTGGGCTACCGAGATTGGCAGATCATGTAAGAGTCAGGGGCTATTGTGAGATACACTATTACAGTCGATTTAATACGAGTTATCCTACATCCACAGATCGTCGGTCTAAATGCAATGCTTGAGTCTTTCAAGTGATATGAGAGTTCTTCAGTATTAAAGTGTTTAGTATGGCACTATCATATACAATATTAAAGATTTCTTGATTCTTCTGGTAGCTCAGAGAATAATATCTCTACAATTAAATAGCCACGACTGAAGCATACATATTTCTCTATTTATCTTTATAACAAGTTCTCTTTACTTTTCACACAATTTTTACTCCCTTTCTTATCTCAAACAATACCTCATTACCTCATTAACAATAGCGTCAAGCTTCTTCCGTATTACACATGTTTGGATGTCCGGTCCCAGCGGAATTGCCGGAAATAGCAAAACCGATGAGCTTGCCAGAGAGGGCGGGCACCCGTACCCCAATTTCATGATATTAGATGCGAGTCGGTGATCCCTTGTTCTCTTGCGTTCTAGCGCTGAACTTTTGGATCTCCCGCGAGCTCTATAAGCGCTGGTCAATAACACAAGCTTGGGCGGCTGCGAAATTATTTTGTTATAGAGTGAACCCTAGATGTGTTCTGAACTATTAGTGCCTGGGATTGTTATTAACTGCCTTAACATATTTGTACTAAGCTCATTAGGCTTTGTCAATCTATGAGGCGATCCATTTTCTGTAGTTTTGAAGCATCATATAGAACTAAGGGTCTACAACCGTGCAAGTGAGCTCCAGCGATATCTTTGGGCCAATAATCTACCCTACGACCTAACCCAACCTATCGATCTATATATCCGCGGAACTTAATAGAATATATTGTGATTTAATTATTTCAACTATCGTTTTATAGAAATATTTAGTACATCAATCATATTCTGCTGTGCCACCACCTTAACGAAATATATATTAACACACACGCTTTAAAAATCCAAAGAGCACTATCAAATCGCTATTCTTGCGCATTAAAACGACACACTGACAGCAACATCAAGTGAAGTGCTGGCGTTGACGCTAACGAGTCAATAAGTAAACTAGTGCACTCCGCATTTGGCGCGCCGCCTAGAACTATGCTAAACTATGCATCACGCTATTGCATTTTGCGCCAAAATTTACACATTTCCACAGCTATTATTACCCGAGGCAGCGGAAGTAAGTGAATAATTTAGAAAAAAAAGAGAATAAGTGAGGTGAAAATGTGGTGTGGAATTGCCTGGAGGTGGAATTTTGTATTTTAGCTGCAGCGTTGACGAAGATTTCTAAGCTGTTTAGCACTATTTTTGTTAAGTGAGTCTTCCTTATGTAATTCATGTCATCCCTTTGCTACTTCCTTTCTTTAAATGGCTGTACATTTCGGCTTCAACAACTGTTGAACTGATGATTTTAACGACTGGCAGTTTAATTCATTTGAAGAGAGAAATAATTAAAATATTCAAGACTAAAAAAAACTAGTTTCAAAGTAATATCTATGCAGCAGCTGAAATTATAGCACACTTTTAGGCAACTAATGCACTTAAATTAGCAATTGGCATTTACATTTTAAATTATATAATTCGCAATTTTTCATTGCACTGCTACTAAGAAATTGGTCTTTGCCACCTAAAAGTATGCAAGATATTATTTTTTTTCTATCACTCCGAAAAGCTTTCTTGCAACATGCCAACTAAGACAATTCTATTCCCAAAATCCCCAAAATAGTTAAGGCGACAATGTTTTGCTGATGACACTAACGCTTAGAGCCATTTGTAGCAACAAACTATCAATTTGTGTGTGTGTCTGCGTATGTGTAAACGTTGATACGCTCTCGTGAACTTGTGATTCCGCATAAATGATGCATGGGTTTGTTAGTGTGGCGGAGACTTGTAGCCAGCAGCTACCAGAAGGTTAATTGCAGCACATTTTATGGTCAACAGCAATCATGGAGAGTAGCATATTTTAAGGCGTACGAGCATTTCGAGCATTCACACTGCAGAAACACTTACGCACACACATGTAGGTGGTGATGGCTGTGTGTGTGTGTGCTGAAACGTTGTGAACATTTTCTTATGGGCGTGTGCTAAGCAACGCCCCCAAGGGATGTTAATTTAAATGTCTTCACAAATTCAAGCTTCCATATAAGTATCCACACATACATACTGCATCTCTTCACACACACACGCCTAAGTAACCATTAGTGCGCTTGTGCTTGTGCAACTATGCTTCCTTACGCTTTAACCTCAATTTTGATTAACAATGTCTGCCAAATGGAGTTGTCAACAAGCGGCAGAGCGTAAAACGAAGGTAGATGACGCCGAGCAGATCACGAACAGTGAAGCAATGCACATCAATTGACGGTAATCAAAGTAGGCGAGCCCAGGCAACAGTTGCTGTGTTTGTTCAGTGTGTTCACTCTGATGGGGAGGTGAAACATTACAGTACTAACAAATTGAGTGGATTTTGAAAAATTATAGCTACTTTGTGTGCTTACATTAGCAGCTGCGCCAAGCAGTGACTTTCATTGCATAAACCCACACAGGCAGTCAACGCGACAGTAGAGAGCAAATATTTGGAAGTTTAGATCGAAAGTAAGTTGTCACCTTTTTTTATTCGATAGTAGTAGTACCGAAGCTATAACACCTTTTACAAACAAAAAAAGTTTCCATACAAGAACTTGATTTTGATCGCTCAGTTTGTATGACAGCTACATCCTGTAGTTGTTCGGTATAGACGATTCTGACAAATGGGCTGCTGTTTGAGAAGAAAATTACGTGTGCAAATTTCAGATCGATATCTCAAAAATGAATGGACTAGTTGCCGTATATACAGACAGATAGACGAACGGACATGACTAACTCTGCTCAGCTCGTCACACCGATCATTCATATACAAGTAAATACTTTATAAACTTCGTGGCAAACTTAAAAATCGTTGAACCCTGACCGAGGATGCCGATTGGTAATAGATACCCCTGTTGCAGTTGGGAGGCATCGTTGCTTTTCAATAGCACAGAACTTAGGTAAGAAATCTTACCATGGAAGCGAGTACAAAATAGAGCTGGAAGGTGTCATGAGGTCAGTGTCAGTATCGAACAGAGGTTACGGATATCCGGCGCCCACCGTAATAAGGTAGCCCTTCTTCGATAGCAGGGAGGCCTATGCGCAAGCAGACATGCTTTCGCCTACCTTGCAGAGTCCAAAACTAATGTATAGAGCTGTTTAGTCGAAGTGACCGAAACCCATATCGTCTTCTCTATCTGACTCTAACTCCTCCGTTTTGGCTTTTTCCATTCGACAACAGTGTCTGCATCAGCAGCTGGTGCTAAGACAGCGGCAGCAGCAACAACTTTTGAAAAAAGCCGGAAGAACTAGTTGTTCCGTTAAGAGGGAAGCTTTTTCGACGAGCTCTATATCAGCCAGTACAAAGGTAGAAGTAACAGTAGCACTGGACCTATAACTAAACCTATCTCCAGGAAGGAAACAGCAACATCGGAGGCTGGAACCAAGCCTTGTAGCCAGAGTCTGGCTTCAAAACATGGCGAAGAAGGAGGTGCCAAACTTGAGGTTGCTAGTTGTGCATGCTGTCTACCTGCTCAGAAGGGTACAATGGTATCCGCTAACTAATGAGAAGCTTATGAAGGAGCTGCAGGAATTAATTGATTGTACAAAAGCGGTTCTAACCAACTTTTAGATCGCATAACTTTGTGAGAGAGAACTGAAATTTAGCATGACAACTTATAAACGGATATCAATGGATTGGATATAGTCAGCTAATAGTAACATATTGATATAAAAATTGTGAGATTTGACAGCAGCGATCTTTGGTCGTGGAAAATTAACGTTCAGAGAAGTAATACGAAACAATTTAATTGCTGCTTTTTCCGTACAATTTTGAAGTATATAAAGACTTACTTGTCGCATTTACAACTCCTCCATCTTATAGTTTTCAATTTTTTTCTTATCTTGATGCCAAGCAAAAAAATTTTTTTGCCTTAAAATAATCAGACTTCTACCGTCAATAAACGACTAGGTTTACGAAGAGACTTTTTTGTATAGCATTAAATTTCCTACAAAATCTATGAAACGAGATATTTTTTCAAGTAGTTGGAAAGATATGAATTTTGCTATCTGATAATAGGAAAAAATAGAAAACTGTAAGGCGGAGGATCTTCCTGTTACAATTAAGATCTCATACTTGGAGAGATTTGCTCAGAGATGTCTGAGAACCTCTTTTTTCGAGAAAACGAAAAGAATATTCGTTTTTTTTTTACTCACCCTAATATACATATATACATACATACAAGTATATATTGTATATATGTATATATAGAACTACCAATGGAACCTTTAAAAGAGAAATATCACTTGTACATACAATAATTTATTGGTAAATATTTGCAGGAACATTGAGTATAAGATCGAATAATTGCGATTGCAAATGGTTATCAAAATTAGATGTTTAAATTAATTTAAAATTTTTCTTATAAAAACAATGTTTATACTCAACGAATTGTAATCAAACTTAACATAACTTTCATTATACATGAGGGGATATTAAATATGAGGCTATCGAGCAGATTATGTTGACCACTTACAAAGGTGTAATTTGACATTATATTTTACACTCACTACAAAAAATTTAAAAACTTCTCAATTATTTCTTTATATTATATGTATGTACAATATTATTTTTCTTTGAACATTTGCTATAATTTTTAAAAAATATTTGTCATAATTACTTGTATCATAAATCATCATTTTCTCGGTATAATTTCGATAAGCTCTGGTATAAATTTTTTTAGCTTTTGTTCAACATTTAATTAAATTTATAATTTTGACGAATAATAGTAATTTAACCATAATAATTTCTATTTCTTTCCATTATTAGCTCTCTTCTATACGCCAAGTGTTGGAGCGTAGTGCATTGAATAAACCAGATGCTGAAACAAACGGGGAGCACTTGCCGTGCAGGCCTGCTCTGGCGCATTGCGCTTCTTTCTTTGGTGGCAAAATTATTATTTTCGAGTTTTGTTTCTTCTATTTCTTAGTTTTGATTTCTATTAACAATTATAAATTATTTCAAGTCACATGCTTTTAAAATTTCTGAAAAAATGTGAATTTTAACTACTCACAACAGTTAGATTGGTCTAAAATAATAATAGTATCTTAAAACGATCTGGTATCGAAATAAAAAAAAAAAACATAGCACTTTAACGCATATCGAATTCAATTTGATAACATTGTTGCTGCAATTACATGTAAATTTTGTGACAAGAGCGCGAGCATAAAAATGTCGAATCGAACACAGCTCATTACATTTAATACACATATATATTCGACTTAAATTGTTATTTTTTTGGTATTTTTGTAGTTAAATTCCATTAAGTTTTACAACAAATATTTATTTTGTTTATAAGTTTTTCTAGTATTGTATTTTAGCGATTTGTGGTGTCTGCCAGTCTGTGATAAGCGACAGCTTTTTGTTCATCTTAGTATTGTTGTAAAGACTGTCATAGCTTTGTGGTTGTATTAGTTGGCTTTTCATATTAAACTGCTGAATTTGTTTCCAGTTATTATTTTTCATTTGCAATTGTTGCAAGGGCTCAACACCCGAACGTTGCTTTTCCTGCATTTTACTCTTATTGTTGCGATATTTTTGCAGCACAAAGGTGGGCAGGTCGACGAGCAAAAAGTAGGCCAACTCCATAGTGCTAATCAGCGAGCAGCCGAGAAAGAGACCAGCAATGCCACCAAAGGCGACTGAAAACAGCAATATAACACAGATTTACCGTTTAAGAGAAAAAGAGAGAAAGGAGAGAAAGGAGGCTGTGCCAATAACTCACCCATCAAGTCCACCCAGCCGAAGATTAAACTTGTGCGATAAACCATCATTGTCTCGAAACGGTAATGTATGTCCAAATCAACATATGACTGATTGCCGCGCATTTCCGGTGATAGAAATGATGGACGCGCATCCGCCACATAGTTGAGCGAGTAGCAATTGCGGAAACACTCACACACCATGCCCTCGTGATAGTTGCGTACATATAATTTCTCCTCCTCTCGATGAGAGTATGCAAAGCGTTCTGTAAAGTTAGAGTGAGGGAGAAGTAGAAAGTAGAAGAGTAGACGAAATTGAGATTCGAAGAGCGAGAATAAGTAAGCGGAACTGCAAACTATTACTCAGTTCATGTAGCGTATTACCGTTATTCTGCGCCAAACACAACAGGTCCTTCGCTTGACAGCTGGGATAGGGTCCTGAAATCGCAAATAAAGTAAGTTTTAAGTAGTGAAATTACCCTAAAGTGAATGTGTGCTACATGTTGCGAGTATGAGTGTGCGAGTGCTGTGAGTGTTTTATTGATAAGAAATTGGCGAGAAAATGAGTTGCACTTTTGATGGCTTGTACGTGCTTACCAGGTGGAAATAGCAAATCCAACGTACAGTTACAAAAATTCACCAAGTACTGTTGATGGCACTCCGATTGGCAATTTTCAAGCATATAAACGTATCCTTGAAGTGTGCGAATATTGTCAGGGTACCCTTCATCCTTTTGTGTAGCGAGCAAATTGAAATAAAGAAAACAAACTCTAAGGTGAAAGCTTTAGGATCATTCAATATATTTCTCTCTGCCTTTGTTTCGCGAAATTTCTTTTGATAAAGAGGATTGAGAGTAATGTGTGAAATTCTATGGTTCGGCGAGGCCTACAACTCAGAACCTTTATTAAAATTTTATTCAGAATAATTTCCCAGTGCAACACAATGGAATCTGTCGATACTTAACCAGATAGTCGGTCAGTTGTATATATAATCCTTTTTTTAGCTCTTATGAGATCAAATATATATATCAGATATGATATCTGACACTAATTATGGGCCTCCTTACGTGTGCTTCTCAGACACGATTCATTAAACATGCAGGATTAAAAGGTGCATTCAGAACAGAAAGAAGAAAATTTTTTAGTTATCTAGAAATGGGTGTCTACATAACCAAAGCTTTATAGCGAAACATAATTCGAGCGATACTGACTAAAACCCAAACGGTGGGAGCGCCCTTCAACCGAACTTATTCATTCACTGTACAGCTGCAAGTGCTTACATTAATTTAACACTAAACAAAATTCCTGTCTAAGGTAATTCTGTACAGAAGAAATCACTAAAGCTCCTTCCAGTACTTGCTTACATCGAAAATGCATTCTCTCAACTTAGAACCCAATCCACGCGTGTTATTGTCATAGAAATAAACGACGGGCTCCACTTCAATCATTGTGTGTGTATTTTCTGGTATGGTCATCGGTTCTTTATGCCACACGGTTGGCTCTACGATCATAACCTAAAAAAAATTTTGAAATTAATGTTGTTTTTATTAAAAAACTCCATTTCTCCACTTACATTTACACCCTTCTCCGTGGTGGTTCTCGGATAGTGCCTCTCAGAATTGACATGTACGCGTACCATGAGACCACTACCCGGACCGGCCGCGCCTGTATGCCAAGGCCAAAGCCTCTCAACTTTTTGCTTTTGACGTCCCTCATCCGTTTCCACGGTGTTGAAAGCCCAACAAAGACCATTTTTGCTGCGTCGCAATGAGAAGATGTCACAACAGTTCATGGGGAAATGATTCCACACACAATGACTCAAGAACTCCTCGCAACGCCAAGTCATAAACATCATTACTTCGGTGAAGTTGACGTAGTTCAACGGATCGAGAGAGATGTTTTCGAATTTCATAAAACTCTGAAAGCCGGCAAACTTTATGTGATCAAAACTAGCAACAACAAGCTCAAAGAGTTCTTGAGTTTTCGCCGTTACATCGGGCTTCAGATAACGCCGCTTGGCTTCTTCCAGCCTTTCCCAATTCAGTTGGTTCTCATTGCAAATGGTACACCGGAAAGCGAATGTGATAGACGGGCCAGCGCGTGCTATCCACCACAGTCTCCAGTCGTCCTTCGCTAAAGCGATCAGAGAGCAAGTGACTGACGTAAATGGCGCCAAGCAGAGCAAGCATGACGGTGAAGAACCAGACGCAGCTGTAGTAGGGAAATTAAAGCATTTGTTGTAAATGGATTGAAGTAGCTAACATAATTACTCACCGTTCGCACTTTCCAGCGCGCCTACTGAACAACCGATTGACGCCGTGTATAGTCGTGCTCTGGCCGAAGCGGAAGGCCAGTTCCAGGCGGAAGCGCTGAACTCGCGCGGCCGTGCGTCGTATTTTCTTCCACGATGGCAGTTGTATTATCATGCGCGGCTTTTGTGGCAATGGCGTGTGACCTGGCGAGTAGGACAGCCGCAGCGCATTGGCTTGTGGTGCCTGAAAGCGTGCTGGATAAGCCATTTTATCGGGGTCGATTGGCGGTCCGATGCTAACTGAAAGTAAACCAAAACTAGAGCTTACCAGACTGGCTAGAAAACTATTTGCTTTTTCTTCTATTTTTCCTTTGAGGGCCCTATGTTTACCTAGTCAATGGTTTATTGACTTATGACCACAAATTATTATCACCCACTGACCGTCGGGCTTATTTGATTATGAGTGTATGTTTCCGTGTATTTGTCAATATGCGTACCAATTAATGTCTGCGCGCTTTCTGTATTGTGTATCTGAGTGGCTTGCAAATGTTTACCGTTTGTACCATAAATATGATTATTTACAAAGATTTGCAAAAAGTTTTCCACATGCAATTGTTGCCGGGCTTCTGAGCGCATTCAATCGGGTCATGGTCTCCATGTCACGTGTGCTGCTGGCACGACACGGTGAACGCCTGCTCAAGGTACATAAGCGGTTTTCTGATTTATGCTCTCGGTTCTGATTTCCACGCTTTGTTTGTGAGTTTAACTTGTCATCGGCGGGTTTGGTTTGCAAACAAAATATTTACATACAAAATACGAGAGTGTGTGAGAAATTAGTAACCAAATCGGTTGTTTGCAATGTAAATAGACTCTGTTGCATTAATATGCGCTTTGAAAGTGATAAAGGACACTTAAGAAGTAAATAAAGGAACGTAATTAAATAAATAATTGAATATTGATATAAATAGTAGGACTTCACCGGTTCTGGTTGTAGTTAATAACGTGTTTCTGAACTGGACAGAATAAACAGAACTTGAAAGTGTAAAGATAGACTTTTCAGAATTTTTGTGAATATATATTTTTTCTAAAAGGAAATATTCTAAAACTGGTTTTTGGGAGTTATTTAGTTTAAGATCGCAGAACTTTGGAGGTATTTAACGAAGAGCCCAGATAGTAGCTCTCTGCTTTTAATGTCTCCGTTTACTTCTGCTTGTGTTTTGTTAACCTTATTCAAACACAAAGTGAAAAATGTTTGTCTAATCAAGGCATTAAATAATTCTTATAAATATATATAATATCAATTTTGCGTACTGAATTATAAATAAATCTCTCACGACTTGAATGGTCAGTCAGTTACACCTCGTTACATATAAAGGACACGACTGATGCTACTTCAAGAATTCTGAACAGATTCAACACAACCTTTTACTGCAAATCCTCATAGATCTGTTTAAAATATAAGCTGTAGCTGGAGCTACAAATTTCAATATTTTCTGCCTCATAACTGTTTTTTATTTATCTACAATATATATCTTGAGCTCCAGCTAACCATTTGCCTA